AAGAAAAGGTTGGCATTTCAATATTCATGCTGTCTATAATTTATCATCACTTTATATTTTAGTGCTATATCATGATTTATTCTAAAATTATCTGCAGTGCTGTTATTGGTCCAAGGTGTCCACTTAAGATGGATCCTGATCTTGACTACGAGGTTGATAGTGATGATGAATGGGAAGAGGTACTTGCTGATATTCTAGCATTTTTTTCTTTCTCTTTGGTAAAAAATTCATATTTTGTTTTCTGCACAGGAGGATCCTGGTGAGAGTCTTTCTGACTGTGAGAAGGATAATGATGAATTTATGGAAGAAGATTCCAAAATTACAGATGAAGAGGATGAAGATAGCTTTGTTGTGCCTGATGGCTATCTCTCAGACAATGAGGTATATATTAAATAAGTGATGTCTCCTTTTCTAATTTGAGTTCCTCATTTGTCTTGGTGCAATGCGACTTTTCATGCTAGTTTCAATTAGTAAAGCCACATACTAGTTTTATATTGACAAAAGTGCGAACCAAATATTGGTTAATCTGCTATGCTTAGGTATCAAACCAGCAAACTCCAATTCTCAACACTAGAGGGGTACATGATAGATTCTGTAAAAGGTTATCTACTAATCTCTTATATCTGCTGAAAGAATGATAACAGTGAGAACTGTATTCCATGGTTAAGAAAATAAAATAGTGGGATAAAACAAGTGTACACAAGTTCAGTAGAAATTAGGAAGATACAAGTTCTATGTATGAATCCATCCATGTGCTTTTCTTGAGTTATAATATACTGTGATTCTGTTCTACCCATAGTTGTTAAAACTGTGATTCTGTCATCTAATTTTATGGCTTCACAATCTTAGTTGATTGTGTCAATTCTATGACTCTGTTAAGTAGAATCTAGGAATAGGATATTATGATTCTAGTAGTTATAATCCTAAGATTTGTGATCCTAACATTGAAGTTCCAATCAGATTCATGATCGTTATTTTAGTAATCTTGGTCCTACTATATGCGATGCCAGGTGCTATTGTTCCTCAAGTAAATGTGCAATATTCTTTGTTTCACTGTTGGAGTTCACTTCCTGCAGGGAATACAAATTGAAAGCCTATTGGATGATAAAGATGAGGAAGCCAGTAGCTCACCAACTGGTCAGTGTACAGAAGTTGAAGAGTTCAGGTCTCTACTGCGTCAACAAAGAGTCCTGAACACTTTGACCGAGCAAGCTCTCCGGAAGAGCCAACCTCTTATTATATCCAACCTAAATCACGAAAAAGCTGAATTACTGACTGCCGAAGACCTCAAGGGAATGGCAAAGATTGAGCAGTTATGCTTGCAAGTTCTTTCAATGCGCATCTGTCCAGGAGGTGCAGTTGTTGATGTGCCTCTAACTGACAGCTCATCTGCAACTGTTGAGGAAACTAACCAGCCCAATGTGAAGAATGGCTCTCCTGGGGCTGCATCTGCTATACCAGAAACAGACCTGCCAGAAATTGTAAGCACTGAGTGAATATTAGCAATTGATATCTATTGTTTGAAGATAGCATGCAGCTGTAGTTCTCATTTTGCTTTAACCCCAATGCAGGTCCAGGTGATAAGATCATGTCGAGATGGTATCCACAAGGTGGTGGAATTACTGCAGCACAAATTTCCAAATGTTCCAAAGACTCAACTGAATCGTAAAGTGAGGGAGATATCTGACTTTATTGACAATCATTGGAAGGTGAGGATGCTCTCACATTGAAAAAATCCCGTGCCTGATTATTCATAGTTTCTGTGTCAGTAGCATGGTTTTGTTTCGTACACCTCCAAGGGCAAAATGGTTTTAACATCTTATGTACTGTTTCTCTGCAGGTAAAGAAAGAGATTCTTGATAAGCTAGGATTGGATTCGTCACCAGGTACCTGTATTAATTAATTTGCTTTTGTTTCAGAAGTAGGATCCCTGCATATTTGTCCTTGGAAAATCTTCTTACCAATCATATTACTTGTTTTCAGTGAAATCCAAGAAGAATAAAAGCATAGCCACGTACTTCTCGAAGAGATGTTTACCTCCAGAAGAGGCTGTCAATGCTCTGGCTGCTTCTCCTGAGTTGCGGTTGAAATCTAAAACAAAAGTGGCACCGAAGCTCCTCAGATCAATCTGTTCCCCTCAAAGCAGTAGAGTTTTTAACAAGATACCCTGAAAGTTGGATCAGGGGACAATGAAGCTATGAATCCAGATGAGCAGAAAGCTCAGCGGTTCATGTACAAAGGCTACGGAAGTGCAACTCAATTTTGCATCATCACCGATGGAAAATGATCTTAGTGCAACATGGGTTTTTGACAACATGGAGATTTGGACTATGTTTCCAGTGTTGGACATGTAATTTTAGCTGGAAAGTAGGTTTTTATTCATGAAGGATATTCAGTTCAATTATTTGGCCTTGATGTGATTAACATGTATCTGTCCTATTGTTAACGCAAGGCATTGTTCTGAAACTGCCCCCATCTTCAACTTGTGTAGTGAACATTATGCTGATTCTGACGGATAAGCAATGTGTCCTGTGACTGCTCAATTGAAGTGCATCTGTTTTAGTGTGACTGCGAGCAAACACTTGTTGCTTATCAAAAGACAGCTTTGTGCAGAAATTGTTTTTTTACAACCTGTTTGCACCAAATCTGATGAATGTACATGTAAATAGTAGCAAAGGCAACAAAAGCAATATATATTTGCTTTGGCATTGAACATTTTTGGTTGAACAGGCATAGGAGTACACAGTAGTACAAAAGAATTACAGCAATAGGACATACTAGAACAGACGGCAAAGAATCAACGAATCTTGTTCATATAGGAGTATCATTCTGAAGGAGCAATTTAAGACCAGCAGTGGACGGGGCATCAGACATGGTACGACTGCCAGTTCTTGGTCTGGAGGTCGTCGTCGTCCTCGTCGTCGAGGCGGAGGGAGAAGGCGAGCGCGAGCGCGGCCCACTCGAGGACGAAGATGGCGGTGCCGAGCCCGCCGACCATCTTGAGGATGACGGCGCCGTCCTCGTCGCGGACGTAGGACTGGAGCTCGGCGAGGAAGTCGGAGGTGCGGGTGAAGGCGAGCAGCGCGACGGCGCCCTGGAAGATGGCGGTGAGCGCGGCGCCCGCGGTGTGCGCGTTGTGCCACTGCGCGGGCGTGGCGGGCGCCGTGAAGGAGCCCGAGCAGCCGGCCGCGGAGAAGACGGCGGTGAGGGCGTGGAGGAAGAGCAGGAGCAGGCCGCACGGGGACGGCAGCAGGCGCAGCGACAGCGTGAGGAAGATGCAGCTGGAGGCGGCGCCCAGGAGGATGTAGTTGCAGAGGAGGAACGCCTTGCGCGTGTGCGACTTGCCCGCCATCGCCGCCGCCGGACTCGCTCGGAAGCTGTTGGCTTGGGTCTTGGAAGCCTGCCGAGGGAGCGGGATGCCGCTGGCTTGCGGGCGAGGGGGCGAGGTCGAGATCGAGAGAGCCAGAGAGGGAGGTTTGGAGTGGTGGAGTGGGAGCGGCGGAGTGGTGGGTACTTATGGCCGCGCGGGGCGGGGTGGCGCGGAGCATTTGCCCGTTGGGGCTGGCGGTGGTGAGGACTAGAATGAGGCCGCGACCCGCGAGGGGCAACGGCTAGTCTGGTGTGTGGGGTCCGGAGGGAGGGGAGCGCGGGGGTCCACAGTCCACTGGCATGAGAAGAGAGACATTGCTGCCCCACTGAAGTAGCTGACTTTGACTCGGATCCCATGCGCGCAGCACCGTTTCTTTTGAGAAAATTCTTCGTTGCCATCAAAGCTATATTAATCCTTTCATTGCCATTCAGATTTACATGTTCTCTAGGTTGCCATTAGTTTATATTTTTTGTTCCGTTATCTGCCATTGCCGTTACTTTCTCGTTAATCCATCGTATACACCGTTAAGCTGCTGCTGCTTGGCCAGGCCAGGCCACGCCATTGCTTGAAGTCAAGTTTAGTAAATACCAAAATATAATGCAAGGCTTGTCACGTACTCGTGTTCGCAGACGCCATCTTCGAGCAATTTTGTTGGTCGACCTCGTATCCCTGCGCTCACCGTATGCACCAACAAAGCTGATGGCAACATTTTTTCGCCTTTTCTGTGCTTCCGCGCGGCGACTGGAAGGCGATGGCAAACATTCAACACCAACGAGGGAAGTAGGCAAGCCGGCGATGGCATGCGTCGCGCGGACGCCGAACTTGTTTTGGTGATGACACGCATGGCAAACGCTTGGTGTCAACAAGTGCAAAGGCGACATCTTGTCATCATGCGGCGCGCGTAGCAGCGAGGGAGCAAGGCGGCTAGCGGTCAGCCGGTCATGGTATGCGGGCACTAAGAGCGAGAGAGACGAGACCGCCACATGTTTTAACGGTGTATAGGATGGATTAACGAGAAAGTAAAGATAATGGCGGATAATAGAATAAAAAATATAAATCAATGGCAAAAAAGGAAACATGTAAATCTGAATGGCAATGAAGGGATTAATATAGCTTTAGGTGGCAATGAAGAAATTTTCTCGTTTCTTTTCGCCTTTTGGGGCTTCCGGCGGGGACTGGAAGCGGCGAAATGCAAACCAACTAACGAGGTATCCAACGGATTAAATTCTGTAGTCTACCCATTTAACCGAGCAGCATTTCGGCAGGCACTATGGGGTTTAAAACAGCCGTACTCCAGGATTTCATTTCCGTACCAGCAAAGGTTGTAGCTACACCTGACAGCCAAGTAGTTGGACTGGACTTGGACCACTGACCATTTTTACTGAACTCACCCTCACCTTGATTGCGTGCCAAGCAGAGTAGCAGATGCGCAACACGAATTAACACTGACACCTCTTTCTCTATAGTCTACACACACACAGCTTACAGATGCTGCTCACACAATTAATTTACAGCTGCTTTACAGTGACTCAAAACCAACTCCTTACATCAGAAACGACATCGAATTCACAAATTACATCAGAAACCTCTTGGGCGCATCCGCTCGACTGGCTCCCAACCTTTCAGCGTGTCATGCCTCGGCTGTTTGGGCCGACGACTCTTCGGCGTCCGATGGCTGCGACTCGTGCTTTGCCGCGGCCTGGAGAACCCGGTCTTTCACCGCTGTCGTCGAGGGGGACGTCGGCAGGCCCACTTTGTTTGGCTCTATCTTCTTAGCTGCCCATGACACGGCGTCTGCGCCTACTCTTACTGGAGACAGCAACAGCCTAAGCCAAGAGAGCAGGAGGGAAACTTGTAATCATCTTTTCGTTGTTCAAGAGGCAATTCCAAAACTTAAAACAACGGAAACAAAAATTTTGATACAAGAACAGGAAAGAAAAAAGGAATTCAGGGTAACTTACTTTAGGTCTTGCTCCAAGTCCTCAGAACGCTCATATGTAGAGAATCGCAAGTAGATAGTCTATCCAGAATAAAAGAAAAATATCAGACAAACTGTGTTGCTGCCACATTTTGCAAATTGATATATATTTGCAGTTAACAGTAATGTACAAGTGCCCAGTTATATTAGTGTTTTCCAGAAATGCAGATGCGGGCATTTTTTTCTGAGACGCAGATGCATCCATATTGAACAACAAATAAACTATCTGTCAAACATACTACATACCAGCCCAACGCTTAAAACAGCGATGTATTGCAAAGTCGTCTCCCATTCTGTGGACACAGTGATATATAGTCAGTTAACCAAAATCAATATTCTAATTCAGCTGCAGCACACTTGTTTGTTCTAGCCAGATTCCAGAAATCCAGTGACAAGTATCCATTAAGGACATCCACTCAAAAAAGATAAAACAAGTGTTTAGGACATGGCTTGTACTGAACGTTTAGGAACACAAGGACTAGTTCTTTAGGTTGGTCTCAGGAGAGCCTACTGTTTTGGTATCATGTGGTCGAGTCTGACACTGTTTCTCTCCCCCCGAGCTCCCCCCAACGGGCGACTCGGGGGGCGCTTGCGCCGCCGCCGCTAGAGCCCCCCTCCACGCCTTCCCTCCGGCCGCCGTCGCCGCCCTCAGCTTACGGTGGCGGCGGCCCCCAAAACGGGCAACCGTCCGCAATCCTCCATCCCTACCCTGCAGCTTCCTCTCCCCCCCCCCCCCCTTCAACTCCGGCGATTCGCGTGGCTGGCGGGGCGGATCCGGGACCTCCATGGCCGGATCCCTGCGCCTCCCTCTCCGGATCCGGCGGTTTGGCGACGTCCGGCGAGGGGGTGGCCGCCCTCTCCCGTCCCGATGGCGCAGGCTGCCTGCAGGGCGGGTTCGATGGCCCAGCTGACCGCTGGGGCCGGTCTCGCGCCTGGCGCCACTGCTGGCAGCGCGGTTGCCGCCGGATCTCACGCGTCTTGCGGGGGTGGCCGCTGGTTGGCCGGCTCGGCCGGATCTCGGTCCTGGCTGCGCGGTTGGCGGCGCGGTGGCCGGCTGGGCGGGATGTCGCGCATGGCGATGCGGTTGCTGTGGATCTGGCGTTCGGTGCCGGGCCTTGCGGTGGCCACGCTTCGTCACTGCCACGGGTCCCGTCGCCGCTAGAAGCGTGGCGGCAGCCCCGGCCTAGGCGCCCCTAGGCACAGCGGCGTCCCCTTTCCTGTGGTGTGGAGAAACCATGCTTGGGTGAACACCCTGCCCAGCTTTGCTCTGGGCCGGTGGCGGTGGCGCTGTCTGCGTCATTCTCCTTCTCGAAGGCGTCATCGAAGCTTCTGCTCACCACGTCGGGGATGGTTCTGGGATGAAAGTCGCCGTGTGCTTCTATCAACGACGTTGGTGTCTGCGGACGTCAGTTCCCTTCTTGAAGGCGTCGTTGGAGGGCTCCTGCTGCCGTGCTTCTGCTCCGTCCGCCTCCACAGCTACGGCTGCCAGGCGCGCTACACTCCGCCTGCTCCTCCCACGCCGTTCGCCGGAGGTCGCTCCTTACTGTATTGTGCCTGCGTGTGCCTCTTTCTACTCTTCGCATTGGTCTGCCCTGCCTCAGTAGATGTTGCTGCTGCAGTCGCTCGGCTGGTCACAGCGACTACCTGGTCGCTGTTGATGTTGCCGCTGCAGTCGCTCGGTTCACAGCGGCTACCTGGTCGCTGTTGGAGTTGCCGATGCAGTCGTTCGGTTGATCACAGCGGCTACCTGGTCGCTGTTGTCGCCGTTATCTTGGTTCTTTCGGTGGATGCTTTGCCACCGCGGCTTCGTCTTCTGAGTGGGCAGCCTTTGCGTTGAATTTTTTCTGCAGGTTCAGTCGGTTAGGTCTGTGATGAAGGGTCCTCTCCCTTCCACCTTTCTTGCTTGTTTTCTTGTATTGGGTGCTTGGGGGTCTTGGTAATCCTAGGATTACCGGGATGCCTGTTGTTGTAACTGTTTAACAACCTCTACTTTCTCTTAATGAAAAACGGGCTATACGCCCGATCGCGAAAAAAAAGTTCTGGTATCATGTAGGCATCTTAACCGAGCAATGTACGAAGTATGAATCAAATAACAACATAATTTATTTATACACTTACCAAGTAAAGCATAGGAAAGTGCTGAGAGGCCCTGTTAAAAAAGAGAGACAACATTGTCAAGAAAAAAAATGCATCCAACAATTTCCGTGAAAAAAATAATGCATCTAAGGGCTACAAAGACAAATAAAGGTAAAAAAAGGTGCTCTTTGTTGTATGTATACTTGAATGTTTAAAGGCACAAGCTCTTACCAAATATAATATAAAATTAGTTGAAAATGTTCAGGAACAGCAATACAGTGTGCCAACATGAGCAAAAGTCAATAACATGAGAATAAGACTAGTGACCTACCAGAAGAGATCCAAACACAAGAGTTGGGGTGAGCTTTATTTGTTCGATGATTTCCTCAACGTCCTGCATATTTCGAGACAATAATGTGGGTAATCGAGAATAAAGAGGTATAATTTTCTAGATCATTAAGTTATGAAGCATGTTAAAACCCGCAAGAGCTAACATCTATGAACTATTCAAATGATACTGGTCGAGTGATAAATGCTGCAAACATGATCTCGAAAGAATATAAGAACTAAACAAGATTGCCATAACTGGCACAATATCCTTTGGTTCACAGGTGAGTTTCTGGTTTTGATTCTTTTTACCTCATTTATTGACGTTAATGCAGTCTCAGGTTTCAGTTCTTTGACACGAAGGTTCTTTGACCATGCTTGGAAACCACCTTTAACAAGGTAAGGTCGCTGCACCCAAACATTCAAAGTTAGACAAGGGAGACAATGCATGCTAGTGCAGTACTGGTGAAGATCAAAGCACTCGAAATTTGCCTGCACACCGAGCTTCTTCAGTAACCTAGCAATGGCTTTTGATCGAGCTCCATTATAATCCATAACTATGACCTTTGAATCACCCTACAGTGGCAGGTGACAAAGTACTAAACTTATTGTGAAGAAATATCGGAAGGCAGGTACAAAGTTTATGCCTCAGTTCTAACAGCATACCTTCACCAATTTCAAGTTACGGATGACAACTGCCAGTAAGGCATCATCAACCTCTCTTCCACCTTTAAGCATACTCTTAACTGGGCCTTTGATCTAAGGAATAAAATCAAATGAAGTAGTTATCAATGAACATTTTTTTTGGGTTATTTCACCCCCTTTGGAATTCAAGCAAGGAGAGTTACATAAGAGTTGTTTTTTGCTAATTATTAAAAAAGTTTAAAACAGGGTAAGCATACATAGGAACTCTCCATCGATCACCGAATGATTAGGCAGGTAAATGTATTCAAATTAAAAGAAAATCAAGTACCAGTGGAGATCTTTTGCTGAAATAAGACATACCTCAGGTGAATCTACACTTGCATATTTGGACCTAGCCCCAAGGCGTAGATCAGGAACGCCATCTTTTTCCCTCAAATCCTAAATAACATAATCCAATAATGAGCTTGAGAGAATGCAATCTTCTATTATCCTACGCTACAGAAAACATGACAAAAGAGCTTCAAAATTTCAGTAACAAATAAAGAGCATGAAAGGAATGCAATAAACTATTGCACTCAGGCAAGAAGACAGTGGCTACTAAATAATCGTTTCTAGAAATTTGAAATGCTATGTATTATGAAATGGATTCAAAGGAGAGCTCCAAGGAAACAGAAGGCCAATGAAATTTACAATATCTTGACTCAAATAGTTTGGCAGTATTGTTGTACTGAAGCAACAGCACAAAAGGTGACTAAATAATCCCTTCTAGCATTACGGACTGGATTAAAGAAAGAGCTCAGATGAAAAGGGACACGAAAGAAAGAAAAAGGCCAGTGAGATTTACAATATCTTGCCTCAGGTCGAACATCAATAAGTACAGCTTTGCCATCGTTTCTCAATAACTCGAATGCTGATTCAGGTGACAAGTCTCCAGAATAGCCACCGTATATGAAGAGCCAGTACGTTGTCCTACAATGTAGCCAAAATTAGAAGGAGCTTTGAAAATAAGGTGCAACTAGAGGTTTGGTAGGCCAAACAAAGAAATCTTCCTTTACCCTATTGTCACTGAACCTCCAAGCAAAACTGCCAATTGAACAATAGGATCACTTGGATCCAAACCAACATTCTTTTCAACACCTTCAACAGCTACATATACCTGAATCACAGCACGCACTAAAATTTATCAGTGGATACTTCAACAATGAACTTCTCTGAGGAACATTCATGCAACTAGACATGCCTAGGTGTTTAGCATCCCACTGAGAACAGCAGTGAAGTTAATGATTGAACAAGCAACACAAGTTATTCTCTCGGCCCGGCTTATCAGCCACGATACAGTGTTTTTCTCTCACAACAAAACAGCATCAGCCGGTTTATCAGCCGCAAAAACCATCAGCCGAATAGCTCCAATGACTGAACATCAATCAATAAGTACATACCTGTTGCAGAGCATTTCCGATTGGTCTCAAAACTATATTAGCTTTCTCCTCAGACGAGCTCAACAAATCTCTAACATTTGGTGGTAGAGACTCCTTCGCAGACCCATAAGAATACACAACGAATGTGGCTGCACTGCCCAGTGAATCCTCTGCTGCAACAATCGCCTTCCTAAGAACATCAACAGCCACAGCCCCAGCTCCGGCCACCTTCGCCTGCAACGCGTCGGACGCGTCCGTGACCCCTCCGGCGGCCTGCTGCTTACCGGCGTCGACCGACGCCTTGAGCCCACCGATCGCGTCGCGCACCGTCTTCCTCCACGCACCGAGTGCGTCGTACGCCGACAGCCTCAGCTTGTCGTAGGCCTCGGTGAGCGCGTCCTCCGCCTGGAAGACCTGCTTGCCGACCTTATCGATGAGCCTGGCCACGGAGTCCTCGACCTCGGACGCGTCGGACGGGAACGTACTGGGGAACGGCGCGTCTGACAGGGCCCGCTCCGCGGCTTCGGTGGGGGCCGAGTTGACCACGGCGGTGGCGGTGGCCGCGGCGGCTGCCTGGTCGGGAGCGGCCAGTTCCGCGACGGCCGTCAGCGGCTGGTCGGTGCCCGTGCAACATAGCCCAGGGCTGGGGTCGGCGCTGGGGAGCGGCGGGAGCTCGGAGGCGGGGGCGCCGAAGGCTCGCGCGATGTCGTCCGGCGCGGCGGTGTAGGGGGAGAGGATGGAGGAGTCGGCGAGCGGCGGGCGGTCGGGCACCTGCGCGACGAGCGGGTCGGCGTAGGACCTGAGCTCGGCGCCGACGTCCACCCTCCGCGGCACCCGCGCGACGACGTGCGCCGCCGTCACCTGCCAAGCAGCAACAAGGACATTCAGCGCCCCGGAAGGCGGCAAAATTGATAAAAGCGGTACGGATCGGCTGATCGCCGGCGAAGGCCGCACCGGGCAGAGGGGGGAGCAGCTGGGCGCGGCGGAGCAGACGGGCAGCAGCATGGCGGGCGGGCTCATCGCGTCAGGCTGCTGCTCCCATCCGTTTCGTTGCCCGCCTCGAGTCGAGAGGGGCGGGGACGGTCGCGGCGGCCGGGGCGAGCTGGTTGGATTGGAGCCTTGGAGATGGAAGTCGCTAGGGACGGGCACGTGTCACGTGTGTCGCGGCGCGCGGGAGGCTGTGGAGGAAGGTGGTTGATCCGGGACGAGTGGAGCCGGTGCGACGGCGAGGCGGGGGTTCGGATTTTGCCGGGATTGAGCGGATTGGTGTTCAGGGATTCGGCGTGTGGTGCGGCTCGTCGGCGCCGGGGTGGCGGGGGCGGGCCCGTCCCAGAGCTACACGCGGCCACATGTTCACATGGATGCCCATCTGGCAGGATTTTTTTTTTATTTTTAACACTTTTTATAAATTAATTTTAAATCTAACATTATTTTGTTTTTTTTCTTCAAACTAACACTTTTGCCCACGCCTATTTTCGGCAGTGTGCGGCGCTCGCGCTGTCGTGCCATGCATGGTGGCGGCGGCGAGAGGGATGACGATGGCGACAACGGGCGGGTGCGGCGCCATAGCCCACGGGCGACATCGACACGCCAAGGCCCGGCGCGGCAGGACACGGACGCAGATGGGGTCGATTAGCCTCAATTGCAATTGAACATGAGTCATTGTCGGTCTTTGTAAACAACTCAAAGTCTTTGCCACGACGTATTGAAACGAATATGAAGCAAATAAATGAAGTCCGTACGTAAGTTGACAAGTTGCCACATAACATTTTCATTGGTTCATGAGTCTGCAAGTTTCGGACGACAAGATTCGTTCGACATAAGTTTGACATAACCAACTAAAGTCCCAGGAGTGTAAGGATACCTCGGACGTCTCTGTCTCTTCGGATTTGTAGGCAACACATTGTGAGTATAGCCAACGTCGGTGTAGTCGCGTTGCCGGTACTTACGGCTCGTACCCTGTAAGTATATGATATGCACGATTACTTATAATCTTTATGATCGTTAGTTCATAGAGCCTACGTATTTAAAGAAACTACCTTTGTTACTACCTATGAGGTTCCTTGAGTACCAAACAAGGCACCACCTAGCTGAGACATGCTGTATGCGGAAGCCCGGGGGGTCGTCCTCGTCATCGTCGTCCCCGTTTGCAGGGTCCTTCCTAGCGCTATAATGTGGTGGTGCACACACAGCGGAAACGGCACCTGTCACCGGCTGAGAAGAGCCGGCTGATGTCCTCAAAGATCAAAGAGCCAAAAGACATGGCACCCGACCGTGCCGGGTAATCGGGTTCCACCCAAGGAGTGTCCATATAGCTCAACTTCTGAGCTACCTTCCTGCAGCTCCGCTTCACCTTCTGCATGAATAAACGTTAAAGTTAGTGTATTTCCCAAACGCATATACACTAAAGAAACATTTTTGGAACGGATAAGTTTATGTTTACCTCCACAAAAGCCTCAAGAACACCTGACCCCTGTCCTCTAGACTCGTGAAGCCGAAACGCTGCTTCGTTGGACAGCCTTGACAATTGTGTCGCCTGGGTACAGAAACGTGGTTGGACAGTTTTAGTACACATACTTAATACCAAATGGATAACAAATTGTACTATTCGAGTATCTTACGACGTATCTTTAAAGCGGGGCTCTGTGTACTTGTGTGTCGTCCCTAGTGGCAACGTCATACACATCTTCCTCATCAATCGCCTCCTCAGTGTACGGGGGCTTGATACGTGTCCTCGTAGACCTGTGAAGCCACCGCAGGTACTTGTCGAAGGTGTGCTGGTCGTGTGGGGGACCCGCATCGACCGGCTGCCGGTCCCTAGTCTGCCACAATTGGATGTACGTGTTGTGTGTCACGCGCCAAATCTTGATCTTATACCTCTGCCATGATGCGTGGCGCGTCACCGTCGCGCCAAGATCGGTGGCGTAGTAGACCCTTCCACGTCACCGGTCAACGCCTCGGTTGTCGCCACATCATCCTGGCGCGGCACAGGCGTTTCGCCGCGCCAGGAAAATAGACGCAGGTAAAAGTGTTAGTTTTGAGAAAAAAATAAAACAATGTTAGATTTAAAATTAGTTTACAAAAATATTAAAAATAAAATAAAAATAGCTGGCAGCACTCCAAGTCTCCAACCGATGATCGCTCAGTTCTGTAGTCTTCTGGCTGCTTTGAGCTTTTCCACTGGCTGCTGGTGGTTGGGTTGGGCAGTGGCAACACGTTCGTCACGGTGAAGCATGAAACATCTCTGCATATCAACGTGAACTATGCCAAATGCTGCTAATAACAATGTCATTTGGCCACCGGCAACGCTAGTACAGTAGTCATTTGCATCACACACTAGCAAATCCCGACGGGGGTGGTCTGGTGGAATTGCTTATCAAAACCTCAGTTCATTCAGGCAAAGTATACGTCCATCCAGTTCTCTTCGCTGAATTTCGGTGCCCATGTGTTTATCTGTGGCAAAATGTGAGTTTTTATTTGACGTGTTAAAAGAAAGGAAACGATTGTAAAGATTTAAAGCGCTTAGCCTTTCGATATTTTGTCAATTTTTACCGTCTCATTGGTAATTTGCTGAAAATAATAAACGTTTTGGTCTGAAGGAGGTTTTAACCAAAATTTGCCTTGGGATAAACCTTAGATTTCTTTTCTGATATAAATCATGTCCTCTCGGCATTATGGATAGTACATGCTATGTGTATACGGTAAATGATGGGTTCAATGAGATCCCTATGGCTTGACTGCATGATGACTAACAACGAAAACGATGCTTAGAGCTTCTTTGAAGCACACATTCTCCACAAAGGTAGGAATACAGAAAAACTCAAAAGCGATATCAACACACTTGAAAAGTTAAAATCCAACATGAATTATGAGTGCAAGGATAATTTCAAAATAAGCACATAATACACATGAAAACACATAAATCCATAGACATAAACGAAAGAAAAGCACAAGGTTAGACCTCATGGTTGTTTTTTCTCTACTAAACCTCCTTTGAAATATCTCGTCCGATAGGAAATTCAAATTAGTTACTTGTAAAACTCCGTCACCTCTTTCTTGAAAAACAAGGGGAACCTTTTTAAAAGAAAATTAAAAGAACTTGCATTATTCAATCTTCTACCTAAAGGGTGTTTATCGAAAAACTATTGCCCTCTTGAAGAAACATTGTGCCTATTATTTATATATTTATATTTATATATATATATATATATGGGAGAATTTAGGGAAGCTACGAAGGCTGCGCACTTCTTACAAGGATATAATAGATGCATTTACGTAGCAAAATAGCCATGCAATCTAGAAAGTATGGGGAAGGAGAAGAACCTATTATGTTATTAAGCACGAGAAGAAGTGGTTGCCTCTTGCCAGGTCCACGGTGGCGTTTAGCCTTCATGATAGAAACAGTGGCGGAGTTAGAGTAAATTTGAGAGAGGTGTGCTTGCCTTGTGTGTGCAAGGATTTATAATTTATGGGATACAAATATGGTGAAAATTTAGCCTAGATCACTACCTTTTTTGCGTGGGTATAACAGCACCCACTACAGTTCATGTAGCTCCGCCCCTAGATATATAAATAATGATTGTCGTCAGATATTAGTTATGCACACTGAAATAATAAGATTCCTTTATACTTATATAGGATATAAAAAAACAATTTATGTTGTTGGCAAACTTGAAAGCACAATGATGTCTCGATTGAAGTATATGATGTTAGCTCTAGGTATAGATTCTCATGAGGCTGATTTATTCCATCTGATCACTCATGGTTATTCGTAAGCTTGAGGATTCCTCGTGCAATAACGTGAATTGTACGGTTTATACCACGTTCTTGGTAGATAGAACTAGAAACATGATAATTGTTTCTCTTTTCAGCCTTCTAGATCCACTCAGCCCCTACCCTGTCCTCGGTGGGCTTGCCAATGGCACAAGGGAGCAGGTGTCGATGAAATCTAGTCGGCAGTCTACCGAGAGGTATGCCCACGGTAGTAGATGAATCGGTGGAGGTGCGCTTGAGGAAATCGAACAGTGACACAGAACGCAAGAGACAGCGATTAGGCAGGTTTAGGCCGCCGACTTGGCATAATACACTACGTCCTGTGTCTTTCGGTGGGTTGTATTGCGTATGATCAGATGAAAACGAGGGGGGTCCCTATCCGTCTTATATAGCCCGGGAGGTAGGGTTACAGATCGGTTGTTTTTATCCTGGTCGATTTATAAGAAAGGAAGTTACATATATTACGGGATCTAACATATCCGAGCAGATTTCCTAGATCACCGAGGATCTTCACGTAGTCTTACGAGGCACGCCGACCTGTGCCGTGCTTCACGCGGCGTCGTCTTGTAAGCCGGGACCTCCACTAGTAGCGTGACCCATGCGCAGTCTTGTGGGCTAGGCCTCCCCTAGCGGCTCGGCCCATGAACAACCCTGTGGGTATCGGGGGTCATACCCTCATAGCTAGTCCCGAGCACCTTGCATCCTCTGGGCAACACCGTCCTGAGCTTGTCCGAGCTGATCAACACGCCGCTAATTGTCAGGAAGAGGCTTTCAACCTATCTAACTGGGAGCTGATCTGTTGAAGAAGATGTTCGAGCAATTAGTCAGGCGTCCGGGCTATTGGAGCGAGCGTTCGAGCTATTAGAATCAATGTTCGAGCTGTTCTACCGGGAGCCTAGCTCAGACTTATGCGAAGGCGAGGTTTGTCAGAAGGATGTAAGGAGCCCAAGTTAAAATTTTGAAATCTCCATCTTGGATGAAGTGTGCCCACTTAGGTTCCGGGCGTTGAAGTTGGTCACGTGGCGTCCTTGACTTAGTTATCGCGGAGGAACTTAGCCGCTTTGAAGAAATCTAAGTCAAAGAAATAAGCACATTCACCGCAAGGTGAAGTGTGCCCACTTAGTCTCCGAGCCTGGCACTAGATGAAGTAGTCTCGTGGTGCCAGGGTCCAAAGTAGTAGTCTTCATTTGCTGAACCTGTTCCCAGCTTAGCTGAGAAAAACAGTACAATCATCGCTAGATGATGTG